GCATTGACATCCATGTCCTGCAAGTCATCTTACAAGTCGCACTTCAAGCCAGAATTACATCTGACTTTAAAATCGCAAAGGCGACGACTTTGCTGGAAGTTGCACAATTTCAAAGTCTGATCGGTGCGACCAGGGTGTTAAGAACCTGCTCACAGGTGCGATTCCTGTGCAAATTACATGCAGTGCCCCTCACCGCATTAGTGTGAACCCAGTCTTAGAGCCATTTTCATTCTCTACATTGCAAAGAGCTGTTGAAAATGTTGTCTGTGGGTTTTTGATTGTTGTTGTGCGTTGGACAGTCCATTAAAAAACGGGTGCACATGAACACAGAAACCAATATGATTTAACATGGAAGCATTGGACACAAGGCAGCGGACTGAGTTGGTGTAAATGGGCCCCAAAAATATAATGGTTGTAATTTTATACCACTATGAAAAGATGAAAGATAATGATTTCAAATAACTTGGAAAATTAATTTTGACAATACTGAGATGTTTAAAAGCAAATCTTCTGAACGAAATGTGAAAAACACAAATCAAAGGATTCTAAAATGTCTGTAAGAGATTTATAAAATAAAATGAAAAAATATATTTTAATAGCTACATAAGTATACAGTGTTGGTGTTGTGTGTATAACATCATATAAGTATAGATAAGCATTTAAAGCGGAGCTCCACCTAAAGGGGACTTTTCGCTTTAAAGACTGATCCTCCGCTCACCGTCAAGGATTGGCACCTTTGGGGAGCGGGTACCTAAAACTGACAGGTACCCGCTCCCCACTTCCGCTGTGATCGCCTAGGGGATCGGAAGTGGAAGTTGTCCTCATTGGACAGGTAAGTGGCAGTTTTTTAAAAGTCAGCAGCTACAGTTAATGCAGCTGCTGACTTTTATTTTTTTACAGTGCAACTGGGAACTCCGCATTAAGGGTAAAATTTGAGCCTGGGGCAAGTTTTTAGCGCCCTGGTTCACACTTGGTGGGCTGGTTGCAGGTGCGGGAATCACATCTATTCCGCAACCACCAACAAGCTAAATCGCTCTGCTCTTATGAGACTCGCAGGGGCTGCCATTCAATTTGAATGGCAACCCCATGCAATCTCAGCCCACAATGCTGTTTGTAGTAGCGGGAACCGCAGGGGAAATTTTTATGTTCATAGAAAGACCTTGGGGGGAGGTTTTTCCCTTGAGTTCCCGTGTTTATAAAAGAAGGTGCATGGTTACCCTTAATTTTGCGGGAAAGTTGGGCACGCAACACCATTCCAAATCGCTCTGCTCTTTGGCTTGCCATGCCCGAGCAAACATGGGGCCCACAATAGTGTGATTGCGGGAGCCGAACCTTAAAGTGTTACAAAAAAACCTTGAGGAACCCAGTTTATAAAAGAAGGTGCATCACTATATATCCGGTCACTCCCCGGACCCTGCATTCACTATAATCGCTTCTCCCCAGACCCTGCATTCACTATATCGGGTCTCCACCCGACCCTGCATTCCACTTATATCCGCTCTCAGCCCAGTAACCCGCATTCACTATAACCCCTCTCTCCCCGGACCCTGCATTCACTATAGCCACTCTTCCCCGGACCCTGCATTAACTATATCCCTCTCACCCCGTCGGACCCCGCATTCACTAATATCCGGCTCTATGCCAGAACCCCTGCATTCACTATTCCGCTCTCCCCCGGACCCTGCAGATCCACTATATGCCTCTGGTCTCCCAAGACCCTGCATTCACTATATCTGGTCCTCCCTGACCCTGCATTCACTATATCTGGTCATCCCCGGGAACCCTGCATTCACTATAACTACCGCTAAAATCTACCCAGGACCCTGCATTCACTATACTATCCGCGGCGCTCTCCCCGACAAACCCTGCATATCCACTATATCACGTTCTCTCCCGCGGACCCTGCATTTACTATATCCGCTCTCCCCCGGACCCGCATTCACTATATCCCCCGCTCTCCCCGGACCCATGCATTCTCACTAATCCGCTCTCCCCGGACCCTGCATTTACTATATCCGCTCTCCAACCCCCCCGACCCCACATTCACTATATCCGCTCTCCCCCGACCCTGCATTCACTATATCCTCCGCTCTCCCCCGGACCCTGCAGTCACTATCTCTGTCCTCTCCGCAGAAACCCTGGCATTTCACTATAATCTGCTCTCCAGGGGGGGGGGGGGGGGGGGGGGTGCCCCCGGACCCCGCATTACACTATATCCAACTCACACGCGGACCACCGTATTGACCTATATCAGGTCTCCCTCGAAACCCGATGCATTTCACTATATCCTGCTCTCCCCCGGACCCCTCGCAATTCACTATAACTCCTCTCGTCAACCCCAGGACCCCGCATTTTCACTAATATTCCACTCGACCCCGGACCCCTGCATTTTCACTATATCCACTCTCCCCTGACCCCTGCATTTACTATATATCCGCTCTCAGGCCCCGGAACCCTGCATTCACTATATCCTCCACTCACCCCGGACCCCTGCATTCACTATATCCGCTCTCACACCCGGGAACCCGCGCACATTCACCTATATCCCGCTCTCCCCGGACCCTGCATTTCACTATATCCGCTCTCACACCCCCCCGGAGCGACCTTGCATTTACTATATCCGCTCTAACCCGGACCCTGCATTCACTATATCCGCTTCTCACCAGGCGACCCTGCAGATCACACTATACCTGGTCTCCCCCAGACCTGCATTCACTATATCTGGTCTCCCCGGGAGACCCTGCATTCACTATATCTTGCTCTCGCCCGGACCCCTGCATTCCACTATTTGACCGCCTCTCACCCCGGACCTGCATTCACTATATCCGTCTCTCTTCCCCCTCAGAGAGACCCTGCATTCACTATATCCGCTCTCCCCGGACCCTGCATTCACTATCAATCTGCTCTCACCCCCGGACCCCGCAATCACTATATCCGGATCTCCCCCGGACCCTGCAATTCACTATAATCCGGTCTCTCCCGGGACCCTGCATTCTACTATATCTGCTGTCCTGGTAGCCCTGCAATTCACTATATCTGGTGTCCCTGGACCCTGAAAAAAAAAAAAAAAAAATTCACTATAATCCGCTCTCCCCGGACCTGCATTCACCTATATCTTGGTCTCCCCGGACCCACTGCAGAATGAGTCACATTCCACTATATCTGCACTCCCTTGGATTTCCCTGCAATTCACTATATCCGCCGTTCTCTCCCCAACCCCGGGGCATTCCCTATAATACCGCTCTCCCCGGACCCCGCATTCACTATATCCGCTCTCCCCGGACCCCTGCATTCACTATATCCCCGCTCTCCCCGGACCCTGCATTCACTATAACCGCTCTCCCCGGACCCTGCATTCACTATATCCGCTCTCCTCAGTACCCCCTGCATTCACTATCTATCCGCTCTCATCCCGGACCCTGCATTCACTATATCCGCGCTCCCCGGTAGGACCCGCATTTCACTATATCCGCTTCTCTCCTCATTCACCCTGCATTCACTATATCACCGCTCTCCCCGGATACCCTGCATTCACTATATCCGCTCTCACCCGGACACCCGCATTCACTATATCCGCTCTCCGGAGCGCCCGCATTCACTATATCCGCTCTCCCCCGGACCCCCTGCATTTCACTATATCCGCACGTTCTCCCCAGGACCCTGCAATTTACACTATATCCACCCTCTCCCTGGGACCCTGCATTCATCCACTAATCCGCTTCCCCAGCGCCACCCTGCATTCACTATATCCGCTCTCCCCGACCCTGCATTCACTATAATCCGCTCTCCCCCGGACCCTGCATTCACTAATATCGGCTCGCTTCTCCCGACCACGCATTCCTTTCCTATCATCCGGTCTCGCCCGGACCCAGCATTCACTATATCCACTCTCCCTGGAACCCTGCATTCACTATACTCCGCTCAGTCCTCGGTACCACTGCATTCACTATATCCGGTTCTCGCCAGACCCTGCAATTCACTAAATCCGGTCTCACCAGCAGTTAGATCATAGGTCTTTGTGACTTCTATCAGTGTCCCAGAACAGCACTGGTTAATCTTGTAGGAGGATTTTTCTTTCTGCTCTAGAGAGGATGTAGAACCAACTGACCTTCTTATCTGGAACAGTGCTGATTGCGCCCTGTCTCTGATCACATGCACTCTTCCCAAAAAAAAAAACCATCTCTAGCAATACACACTAAACTGAGCATATTGTGCATGTGACACCGGATTCATTCGGTAGATGAAAGGTGGGCAATGTTCACCAAGGGGATTGGATCAGAAAAGACAGATCAAACATCCTTTTACACAATGCGGAGGATATAACCCCTTAGGTTCCCACACTTGAGTATAGCAAGCATGCTTCTATACTGCATCCTTACAGACTGATTGGTACCGTTGTGGGTTAGTAACACTCCTTTAACTTCCCTACCATAGACTAAACTTTTTTTCCAATTTCAAAATACTTTGGAGGCAATAGAAGAAAACATACAATAGAAAAATACCATAAAGAAAACCAGCCAATGTGGCTGCAATACCGAGGCTAGAACAAGAGAGCAGAAATTAAATTTTATATCTAAAAAAAGAGGAAAATTTTGGGAATAGACTGATCTAAATGGCGGCTTCAACTACGACCAAACAAGAGTTAATCTTGGGGACCACGAAAATGATGGCGACCCTTGTAGACAAGCGACAACAGTCAGCCAACCAGAACCCCATTAGAAACAGACTTTCTAAGGTTAAATTTACTAAAAGCACATACTGTGCACTCTGACAAGTAGCAGCGAAATACCAGAGTTTTCTTAGTAAATGAAGGCTAGCTCTGCTGACTTCCAACCATACCAATCATTAGATGCAAGACAAAAATGCTGTTTTTTAATTTTGAAGTTTTTTAAGAAGAAGGGAGCAACAATGTCCAGTAATGTATGTTTTAGGCAAGTTTGCACATAATCTCAGTGCTCAGATGTAAAACCACATTTGTTAAGTGGTTTCCCTGCATGGCGACCACCTCCCTGTCTATCTCAACACAATAATACAATTCTTATTATTATAGCCAAAATTACCCCCCCTAACTCGCTCCCCATCAGTTTTCACACTACAGATGAACAGTAATATATATCCCGAAACTATACGGATTGTTCCCGGATTGTGTGCTATAACTTTGTGGAACGTTTTCCGCCATATGTGATCAACAGAAATATCGGCATATTTGTGGTGGAATTTCGGTCCCATAGGAATAGAATGGCGGTAATGTTCAAGCACTAGAGTGGCAGCTGACAAAAGCTAGAGTGTGAGCTGAAAAATCAGGACAAATGATTTCCTAAAACCTGCCAATCACTCCCATCATTTTCTCAAGCCCACCTACACAAATCTTATATCAACACGGTTCAGCTAATCCCTTGCTGCCCACTTAAAAAATGTTCCACGGCTAAGCCATAGTTCCTGATAGAATTCCACAAAATATGTCCATTTTGTTTGCAACTGCAATGCTCGCCCATTGACATTCATTGAAACTCCACACTAGCCCTGAAATTTTGAGGGCAATTTCTAAACTGCGACTGTGCCTTTATTTTTAATATTTTCATAAACATACTATGCATGCAAAATGTAATGTTCTGGGTCTTGTGAATTATTCACAATATAAAGCCTCTTCGGCTAGTATGGACTTTGATCATAATTTTTAAAACTACAACCGTTTTGAGAAGATGGCCAACCGCCAGTGAAAGGTGAGCAAGAGTTGGAGCAGTTTGTTTTTAACAGGCTCCTCTGCCTCTACCTTTTTTTTTCTTTCCTTGCTGTATTAGTGAGATTGCGGCGCTAAGCAGCCGCGCAGGTGGTCGTGTAGCAAGGCAGTGCAGAGAGACAAAAGCTACTCCAGCCCTCCTCTCAGTTGTAGACTAGCTGGTTGATAGGCAAGATAGAAACACTCCCACCACACAATTTTCCCCCGAGAAGTTTGTAGCGAGATCTCGTTGGTTATCTCATTACCACTCCTTTAATGTTGGAATTTGCAGGCACAGCTATAATGTGAAAAGAGATTTCCAAGAAAAACTTCGATCTAAATAAATGATCAGGCTCACCTTTGGGAACATGTTTACTTGTTCGTACCAGACTCCTCCCTACTAGGGTAGAACAATGTAACATCAAGTTACATAGTTAGACATGGCTGAAAAAAGAAAAAAGTCCATCCAGTTCACACCATTAAAAAAAAAGGTTATAAATCCCTCCACCCACAGCTGAATCCAGGAGGAAGGCAAAAAAAGAAAACCCAGCACAGCATGATCCCCCCCCCCAATTTGCTCCAACCAGCAGGGAAAAAATTTCCTTCCTGACCCCCTAGAGGCAATCAAGAATATTCCACTTGGATCAACTTTACCTATAAAATGTTATTATCCAGTTTTATTCTGTGTATCAAGAAAGAAATCCAGGACTTATTTAGGCCTGAGCTGGCCAGAACCAACCTTTTAGAGAGTGAGTCTATTCTACATTTTTACAGCTCTTACTGCGAAGAAACCTTTCCTGTATTGGGAGACTAAAATCTTTTTTTCCGTACCAGAACGTTAAAGAGTGCCCCCTTGTCCTCTGTGATGACCTCCTCAGGGGAATAGCTCTACACCGAGTTCACTATACTGAACCAATGATGTATTTGTACATAGGAGATCATATCCCCCCCTTATGTATTTATACATGGAGATCATAAATCCCTCATATGTATTATACTCATGGAGATCATGATCCCCCCCTTATTATTATACAATGGAGGACATATCCCCCCTTATGTACTTAAACATCCATCCCAGGAGATTTCTATCATAAAAGGAAACACCATGTGACATAAAGTCATCCAATGATCAACAATGAGATCATGCCATCCCCCTTGCATGTATTACATACATGGAGATCATATCCCCACCATATGTAATTAATACATAGATAATATCCCGGCGAATCGAAGTATCCAATGGAATTCCGAGTCGAATATCGGAAAAATTTCGATTCGTGCCGAATCCGAAAAATAGCCTAATTCGGACGCGCGCAATCGAAATTTTTCAGAAAATGGCGGCTGACATGTGCGGCGACGGAGCGGGGATGTCTGGGAAGGCGCGCAGACAAGGCGCGCTGACCCATAATGCATTCCTCAACTACATGTGATCGCATCAGCCTATCAGCAGCCAGCCAGCCAGCACTGTGTAATGGTCGAGCTATAAATAGCGGCCATTTTGGAATTCTTCATTTGCCTGCAGTTATTGAACAGAGGCAGACCGCTCTGTACTAGGGACAGGGACAGAGTTAGGGCCACAGAAACGATAATTGGGGACAGAGAAAAGTTACTTAGGGACAGAGAACCATTACTCAGGGACACAGACTTGTTAATGAGGGCCACAGAATCGTTATTTAGGGACAAAGAAACGCTAGTTAGGGCCACAGAATTCATAATCAGGGACAGACAGAATTGTTACTCAGTGCCAGAGAATTGTTACTTAGGGCCACAGAAACGTTATTAGGGCCACAGAATTTTACTCAGGGACAGACAGAATTGTTACTGAGTGCCAGAGAATTGTTACTCAGGGACAGACAGAATTGTTACTGAGTGCCAGAGAATTGTTACTTAGGGCCACAGAAACTTTAATTAGGGCCACAGAATTTTTACTCAGGGACAGACAGAATTGTTACTCAGTGCCAGAGAATTGTTACTCAGGGACAGACAGAATTGTTACTGAGTGCCAGAGAATTGTTACTTAGGGCCACAGAAACTTTACTTAGGGCCACAGAATTTTTACTCAGGGACAGACAGAAATTGTTACTGAGTGCCAGAGAATTTTTACTCAGGGACAGACAGAATTGTTACTGGAGTGCCAGAGAATTGTCAGGGCCCCAGAAACTTTACTTGTTACTCAGGGACAGACAGAATTGTTACTGAGTGCCAGAGAATTGTTACTCAGGGACAGACAGAATTGTTACTGAGTGCCAGAGAATTGTTACTTAGGGCCACAGAAACTTTACTTAGGGCCACAGAATTGTTACTCGCACAGACACAGAATTGTTACTCGCACAGACACAGAATTGTTACTGAAGGCCACAGAACTGTTACTTAGGGCCACAGAATTGTTACTCGCACAGACACAGAATTGTTACTCGCACAGACACAGAACTGTTACTGAGGGCCACAGAACTGTTACTTAGGGCCACAGAATTGTTACTCGCACAGACACAGAATTGTTACTCAGGGCCACAGAACTGTTACTTAGGGACAAAGAAACGCTAGTTAGGGCCACAGAATTCATACTCAGGGACAGACAGAATTGTTACGGAGTGCCAGAGAATTGTTACTCTGGGCCACAGAAACTTTACTTAGGGCCACAGAATTTTTACTCAGGGACAGACAGAATTGTTACTGAGTGCCAGAGAATTGTTACTCAGGGACAGACAGAATTGTTACGGAGTGCCAGAGAATTGTTACTCAGGGCCACAGAAACTTTACTTAGGGCCACAGAATTTTTACTCAGGGACAGACAGAATTGTTACTGAGT